CAAAGTCAATGAAGTTGAGGAAGAGAGTTAACTGCCATTCTGAGTTCTGTTCAATGATGATGCGAAGCTTTGCAATTTGGTCCGCACATGATTTGTATTTCCTGAAGCCAGCCAGACTGTTCCGGTGGTAGTTTTAATTGCAGTGCATCCTTTAGTTTCTCCAGGATGATACAGCTTAATATTTTGCTTGCATTGGGTGGACTGGAGCATGATTCCTCACCATTTCTTGCAAAGACTTACGTCGCCCTTCTTCGGGAGTTTGACAAGATAGTCCTTCTAACAATCAATAGGCAGGTACCTTTCCTTCCTTCCAGACCTTCTGAAATGGTGGTGTGAGCGTGTCCGGTTTTGTCTCTGCCTCTGCTCTCAGTGCTTCTGGCGGGATTCCATCTAATCTTGTTGCTTTCCCACATTTGAGTAGCTTTATGACGTTCAGGACATCGACTTTTGTCGGAGGGCTCGTGTTGACTTGTAGTTCTGTGGCTGCAAGTGGTATTTTTGGACGAAGTGCAGGTGGTGGTCAATTCGAAAGCTTTCTGAAGTGGTCAGCCCATTGTTTACTTTGTTCCTCTTCTTTGGTAATTAGATTTCCTTCATCATCTTTTATCGGTCTCATCTGCGTTGATCTCTTCCCAGATAGTAACCTGGTTATTTGATACAATGTCGTCAGGTCTCTCCTACCAGGAGCCTGTTCTGCTTAGTTTCGCGTTCATCTAGAGAAGACGTATCAGCCAATCGGCTTCCTGAAGGCTTTCTCAAACTGGTGTCATTTTGTCTCCCCGAATCCAGCGAGGAATAAGTTTGTTTTATGTTTTATATTTTGTTTGTGCTTTGAAGTTCGTTTAGCAGTTGGAGTGGTTTTACGGTGTGGGGTTGCTAGCTCTATGTCCAAACTTCCCTCTTTGCCCGGACTTAGGACCGGCTAGTAACTAGTAAACTGGTTAACCAGGCGAGGTTATATATATATATATATATATATATATATATATATATATATACAATTGTACAGCTTTAGAAAACGGCATCATAGCACTTGAAAATTCTTTTCTCTGAAATGTTTTAGACTGGTTTGCCATTTCGATTCTGCCTTTTTACCCTGTAACCACCTATTTATCTTTCCAGTCGAATCTCTCTATTAGTACACTGTATTTAGCCTGTAATGTAACTATTCCATCTTTCTATTTGGATAATTCATCAGCGACGGATGTATTATGTCAAACTGATGTTAGACTGATGATAAGTAATTACATGATGGGATAACAGTTACATTTCAAGTGAAAATATTCTTCATCTGCAACGAGTGAGTACTCTGTAGACAAATGTTGTGAGAAGAAATAACTTATGAGCGAAAGTATATGTAATTACGTATTATAAACCATAAGGAATACATTTCTTTTGCCCGCTAAGAAGGAATTTTCAACTATGTAAAGCGACATTTACCTTCTTTTAAGTATTTATATGTCCACTTAAAAGTAAATTCACTACGTAGTTTATTGAATAAGTATTTGAAGCTCACTTGTGCTGTAATTTTAAGCGTGACAAACAAATCATTGGGGATAGGGAAAACATCCTAATTCGTCTTTTTAGATAGACTAATTGATCTGTTACCCGGTATGAGGTACTACGTCGAGAGGAGTTTACTCGAAGGCAACCAATTTTATTACTCACACTTTAACGTGTACTTTACCATTTTGCGTACCACCAAGGATATCTTTGATCAGTCTTTATTTATTGTGTAAGAAATAGTCAGCTTACGAATACCTGTGAGACCATTCCTACTGAAACACGAACTCAGAACCCACAGATTCAAGTAACTTAGTGTAATCCGCTGGGTTACTGAGTCATGATCACATCTTCTTGCGTGATGAGTATGCTTTGACTTCATAGCTTACAGTCTACCATTGTTGAAAGAATCCATTTAATCAGTCTACATGAGTATAGAATTGTTAGGCGGATGCCTTGATATTACTAGCAGTTTCAGTTTGATTTTTATTATAGATGGTAGCTTGCGGTGGAGTTCAGGTTGTTTGTTTCATCCTATTCAGGAGTCAGTAGTGGTATGTGGTCTCAGATCAGTGAATAGTGCTATTGCAGTCAGTAGTAGGAAACTTCAAACCTCAAACCATACCCACTGTACAAGGACTGACTATGGTAAATCTGTGCAACGTTAAGTCCTTCGTTGACATGTACATTTATTACCCAAAATGATGGAAGTCTAATGAACTGCATTTTTACAAAGTACTTGTTACATTAATAGCAATGGTCACTCGCCACTCATAAAACAAATTTTCCTTTGCTTTTTTCTACTACAGAACTTCGTTTTACTCTTGATTTGAGAAGGAAGCAACATACATTGGTTTCTAAAGATGTGAATTAATTATTGAAAATCGAATGTAAGTAATGATTTTAAAAAGATTTATTTCTACATTATGAATTATTTGTCTAAAAATTATTTATTGTTTCCTCTTTTTTTCAATCCACTTACGTCGAATAGCAATAACGACAATAACAGTGACAAATGACAAGAGTGTAAAAAAGGACCTAAGCACATAAAGTTGACTATTTGAGAGAAAAATCTGAAAGCACTTCTGTTGATCATGTAATAGACTAGTCGATAAGTCTGCCAAGTTGTATGTACCATTTTCAGTTGCCGATTAGAAGTATGCAGAAGAGTGCTGTCTCACTACTGAACATGAATTCAAAGCTAAGATTATGCGCTTATTGCTCAGCCATCTGAGAGGTCAAATGGAGGTATCAGCAGACTCAGTGCTGAATATTACCACTTCGAACGTTAGCACTAGTTTGGATATCATCGAGATTTCGTATCTACCATCTTATTATCTATTGACAAGAGCAAAACAGAGGTTTGTTGTTTTCTTTCTGAATAATACCAGATATTTATCACTTCTACTTTTCACTGTAACCTTTGTCCTTAAGTTTCAATATTCTATGCACCTTTAAAAGTATACTTCTGGTGAGGCCGATGATTATGTTTCGTGATTGGCCATGTGTATAACGTTGGGAGGTTCTTTTTGAATGTCTGTGACAGCTGGTCAACTTTTATGTGCACAAATCATGATAATGTGGGGCGACTGAATATCTGTGATAAGCATCATGTTTATAAGGCGTGTACCATATCTGATTAATATTTGATTAGTAACTGAATTCAAGTGTATTTCGTACATTTTTGCACATCATGTTTAATTATTTCGATGTCTGTGATTATGTGACCCTTGTTATGAACAGTTGTAAGCAGATGAAGTGTGCTTTTACTGCGCATAGTAGCCTCAAAGCTTAGGTCTAAACTTATTTATTCACCTTTGATGTTTAATCTGAACTTTCATACCCTTATGAGTGCACCAACAGCCACTATGAAACACTCAAAGTGAAGAAGCTTATATCGTTCCCTCGTGGATGCGGAATCGGTTTTTAGAGGCCCTCCCAGCCTGACTCCTGAAAGACACAAGTATTAAGGAGTGGAACGTCTGAGTGCCACCGTTTAACCAAAGCTAGAGGAGGGTTGATACTAAATGAGCGAAGACTGGGCGGTACAGCTTGCCTCGGCAGGAAAACCTCGACCGGGCACTTGACCTCATCCCAGCTAAGGAGGTACAAGTAGATGCCCGCAACTTTGGCATCTTCTCCATCAGTAGGAGTGTACAGACTGTTGCGTTCACCGTTTTAATGCATTCGCGCCTAATTAGAAGGCTTCCGTATGACCAGTGACGTTTAGTCTACATGAGGAACCGGGAAAGACCTCATCAGTTCGATCTAATTTTATTTCTTCAGATTCGGTGTTTCATTTGAATTTTGAGCACCCTGAGTCAGAATTATTTGCAGTGTGTTGGCATACTTGTGACCTCGATATTACATAAATTTCGTTTGGATGATATTTGTTCAGATATGGCTAGAAGTGGAATCCTGAAGCCCAATTTAAGACACACATGCGAATTAGTAAATGGTACTATTTTCATTGAAAATGGATGATTTCACTTCAATAAATTGAAGAAGAGGAAAACGAAATTCAAATAACAAACAATCCCAGCTGCACTAGAAACAGATGTTGAGATTCAGTGATCTGGTAAATAACAGAGGTGAGTGCTAGATCCGGTTGTAGCTGTAAATGCAATCGCCGGCTGAGATATGGTTAGATCTAGCTGATGAATATTGAACAGAAAGTAATCCTTGACCCAGATTTTCTTGCTAGCCAACACAAAATAGCCTAGTTAACTTGACTGAATAATCTTTTATCCATTCAAGATGGATAATACGCACAATCCACTTAGTTGATAATTCCTGGAAGCATGGCACTCCAGTTAGACAGAAATCACTAGGCATATGGACATCGACCCAATATACGGACTACTAAGAAAGAGCCACTCAACTACAAATCAGCCAGGTAAATTAATAATGAGATGTTAGGTCAACGGCACAGGTCAAATGATAAAAACAGTCATAAAGGTTAACATTTGATAAAGAAGAAGGACTTGTCAACCTTGTTCACAAGCCAGTATCTCTCAAGGTAGGGAAATATCCTTCACAGATGTTCATGCAACTTTGCAATGCTTAACCTTATGAAGTAAATACTGATGAGGTCACCCAGCCTGGTGATGAAGCGTCCAAGAATAAAACTCGATACTCGGAAAACACTGAACGAAGCTTTTTATTTCTGTGATTGATAAAGTTGTTAAAACTGGTGAGTGACATTAAGAAATATCGCAATAGCATTCATAGAAGTACTACATCTTACTTTCAGGAAAAAATATCTGTGGAGGTCTCGAATTGTCCGCATGGATATAATTTTCAGTAATTTGTGAGTGTGTTGTACATAAAGTGTATTCGAAGTGGTAGTAGACAGAAAACTTATGCAACTGAAGATGTATCGAGTTTGTCACTTAAGATTTTAATAGCCCTGATGTAGTAAAACAGTTAAAACTAGGAGAACAAGGAAAAATGAGTATAATTTTTAGTTTTTACTTGAGACAGTGTTTATAACTTACTTCTCCTGGAAAAGATTTACCATCTATCATGTGTTCTGATCCTTGATTTGATGTTGATCCAAATTTAATTTGCATAAAGGCAATTTGATAAGTGTAAGAAAATGGACCGCCATTCAGTTGCACAGATTCACTAGTCAAGCTAATGCGTATATCATATCCACAATTTTCAACGATCAACTCAAGCTTATGCGCAAAAGAAAACAAAAAGGCGTGCTAATGAATGGATTACATAAAACAGTAAAAGAGCACAGTTAAAAGTGTAGAATTAAAAAAGTACACCTTCATTTTACAGATACTGATATCACGCCTACGTGTTTTCAGTACACAGATCGCCATATAAACACACGGATTTTAAAGCTTTATCGTACAAAGTGATAAAGATATTTCTCTCATATACTTGCACAGATAAATCACTTACTGCAGATACCTACTACCTCTCTCTTTCTCAAGATGTTGATTCCTATTTGAGATATGAACAATGTTGAAAAGTACCTAAACGTGTACGGTACATAAGTAACTAATTATACTTGGCTTTGGAAGAAAGTAGTGATATTTAGCTGAGAAGTCTAATGGCCAGAAAATGTTTCTTTTTTCAGTGTTCAACAACGATTCTGTGCATGGGTTTAGAATATAAGCAAAATACTTCGTATGAACACCTTGTAAATAGTTATATGTTTCATGTAACAAGTCAGTTGAAAGATAACTTGAGACGAATGAGACTAGTATCGAAGTGAAGGTTGCTACGTGAGGCTCATATTACTATCTGGTTGTAGGAATTTTGAGTTCTTAAACATTGTGCTATTTGTTGAAGCACTGGCGTATTTAGAAATTATCAAAAAATTCTCAATTTTATTGGCTTTAGGTAGTGTTAGCCTGCGTAGATATTAAAGCTAATTCTGCAAATGATCGTACGTAGAGACTTCAGAAATGGTACTGGAACAAGATAATCAGAAAACCAGTTTAGTATTTCCATGACATAAGAGTTTTTGTTGTTCGGATCTCTGGTGTTCATTTATAGTTCAAATTTATTTATCTTTTGGTTGCTGTATGTTTGCTACTTCTTGAAAAGCAGTAAAATATATTACACTGATTAGTAATAATTTTTAAAGTGAAAATTTGTTATTTAAGAAGATGAATCGTCATCTGCAACATAATATTGACTGAATATTATTCTGAAACTTCAAAACAAAGGGAAGTGGATGATTTCACCTATAAGGACTCTAAATAAAAGTTTAAAAATAAAGAAGCATATAGAGATAATGGTGGCTATTTGAAGCTCATGATGATTTTGGGGGGGATGTCTTCTTTGAGCTGGATAGTTTGAGAAGTATAATTGCTCTTTCATTATCAGCCTAGTTTACACCCTATTTAACTTTCTTTTAGTTGTCTGGGGAACTTAAACTTTGTATACTCAGCTGTTGAGCCACACGTGAACACAATAACATATAAAACTCACTCAAGAAATATAAAACGGAGAAGATATCAGAAAAAAGAAAGTAATCGATTCCTGCCTGTATTTTTTATTATCAAGACTAATTCGTTTAGTTCCCCTTGATAACCTGTTCTAGATGTTATCTAGTTCAAGAAAAGTTCATCATCTGTATAATTAGTTTAATTGAATCAGACAGAGGTAAGAACAGAAAAGCGAACACATACATTTCATTGATAAATTTGACAATTCTTATTACTTGTTATCCCTTATACAACTTTATCTTAGCAAAGGTGACATAGTTTTATTCAGGCCAAATGATAAGCAGGAATTTCTTATGTGATTCATTAATTTTGATTCAGTTATAAAATACAATTATTCCTCTTTTACGCATATATTGTTTTCTAACAAAAAATTATAGACAGTAGGGCATTCTATCCCTAACAGCCTAGTTGTGTATTCATTACTGGAATTTTTAATATTGTTAAGCATTTCTATCATTCTGACAATGATTATTAGCGATAGGAATTGTTCACAGAAGTGAAAAATGCGCATTTATATGACAAACAGTAGAGACATATAATTGCATTGGATTTATAGATGGTACTATTCACTAGTGTAGACTGCTGATCAAGAGAAAATGTAGTGTTATGCAGTCAATTACTCTAATTATTTAATCATATGACTTAAAAGGAAATAAATACTAAATTTTATTCCAAATCTTTGTTTTGCAGTGATTAATTCGAAATTTTTATCTAGAGATGTATGAATAGTCGAAATTTCCAACCTGGCAATATATCTATGTATATAAATGACGTTATTTCTCTAAGTTACTAACTTTTGATGGCAGTATTTTGTTCTGTAAACTTTGATTTGGTGCTATTTTTCAAGTCAGACTATGAAGCAGGAATACAAAACAGTTGAGTTTTGTACTGTACTGGGACTAGTCCACTTAGCCCTGCTGCTCTTCTTCGTTTCAGGATACTTACTTCTTTCTCAACTTCTGTATGTACCGGAGGTCGATATTTCATTTTCTATTCAGGATTCTATTGAATGGCACCTGATGGAATAGCAACTGGAGGCCAACTAAGCTGTTTTTCGAAATATTCCTCCCATTGCTCCAATCATCTTGCCTGAAAGTCAATCATAGCCATTGTTCTCCACTCACGACTTCACTTCAGCTTCCTTGATTAGTCTAGACAAATCCTTAGTGCTGCCTATCACCACTGCCTTTTCCGTCGCTTTAGCCTTTTCTACCCATTACTGTTTCTGCTCTTCATTGTGCTCGAAACCTGTAGTATCCATTAATTCGGAAGAAGCCGATAAAATCCACCGACCCTTTTTATCTGTTTTCTTAGAGTTGGCCATTGTCTTTAACGCTTTTCTTATAGCAGACTGAAGATGACCTCAGGCGTTTTCCGAACGAGTGATTTTGTTGTGTACCAATAACTGTCTAGATAATTTCTCACTGAAAACAACCTTAGTGTTCTCATAGTCAAACTGCACTCGAAATGGTCTCATTGCTTTAGTTTTTTCATCCATTTAGCAGCAAAAATACGTGTTTGAACCAACTCATGGTCACTTTCTGACCGCGTGCTCCAGAAGGATCGTGATTCTTCCACCAACAACTGATAAGAATATGGTCTATCTCTCCCCACCACTGAGTTGAGGTCGGTGGATGGGATGCCAGGTAGTGGCTCTCAAAAGGTCTGAAGATTGTGTCTTAGCCGAAAATAGATGGTTGTTGGAACGCAGTTACAGCGAACGACTGGTATTATCTGTTCGTTCATCTGGAATTCCAAAAGTGCTACCAAAGTGCCATTCTACCTACCCATTTGTGCATGGAAATAACCTGCCAGGATAACCACACCTGAAGGCTTAGTTTTCGGTCGAAGGCTAGATAGTTTTCAGTAGCATGCATCTTCACCTTCATGCAAACTCCAGTCAGTGATTGCGTACACAGAGATTACTAGGAAGCAAGGGCAAGTTTTACTACTCTGTATAGCCCTCGGTCTGACAGCATATAGATGAATATCAAGTAGGATCCAGTTGAGCAGTTGACGTTTTGCCTTAGGACCTAATACTATACCTACACCTTCAAGACCATGGGAACTAGCAACCAAATCTGCAGAAGCTCGAAAAGTGCATTTTATAGATTCGGCATACTGGTTGGGTGGAGTAAAGTAAATAACTTCACTTGGGTCTTTTTCATGTGTCTCATAAACACAGCGCACACCCATGATCAAAGAATGCTAGAGTTTTGACTAAAGGGACTCACTGACCGGTTTGATGGAGGAGGGAGACATTGAAAGCTCTAATGTTTAGTTTGAAGAGTAGTTTCAAGACACCAGTGATACTATTACATGAACTCAGATCTCTATCAAGAGTCGCAGAGATGAGGAAATTAAATGTGAAGCAGGGATGTTAACCGAAAAACATGAAGGGCTAGGAGTTAGGGATGTGGAAGGTGTACAGTAATCTGGGGGGGGGGAGGGAGAAATGAGTATTGATAGAGTAGCAAGGGATGCTTGAAACTTCCCATTTGTCCATAAAACCAAAGGCAGGCATGCTTGAGGTCAGTCATATATAGCCTTTTTAGAAGTTTAAGATTTTATCTTGTTGGTTTCGACCACAATTGTGAACCTCTATCGCTGGCGCGGGTACTCCGGGGAGTAGAGAAGAGCATCCTGTTTTTAAGTCCAATCTTTCTAAACTCTCCTCCCATAAGGAGGGCAGCATCAGTCTGGCACTACTGATCATTCAAGAGAAACACCTATTGCCATCATATTCCCGCCAAGCCAGCAGTACGACTTCGCCCTCAGACGCCCATAATAACGAAGAGATTTATACAAGATCTCGAGGGAACAGGTGTTTCACTACCTCAGGTCGTCAGTGTACTGTGACGTGCAAGCCCGACCAACACGTTAATCTAGCAGCTATCAGCTGGGATATTGCTTCGATATACTTCTCTGTGGCACTTCTAGCTGGTTTCACTGATGCAGAAAATATATTACTTTTATTGGTTTTGGTCACCGATTAACCTATTCTCTTCGAAGTTAACTTTAGTTTTGTTGGCAATGACAACTAGTTAACCGAATTTCAAGGCCACTTTAATTCCCGCCGATTCACGGTTGCTGGATAACTTAATTACGTAGGAATACCTAGTCAAAGATCACATTTTTATCTGATATGAGTCCACGGTATAACAATGAACAACATGCACTATCCTTAGGTAGAATGTGGGTAACCGGTAATGTAAACAGAGTAATTATTTCGTTGGAGTAAGATAAAGTTACTCCCCATTATTGGGATCCTAATAGTTAGTCATACTGGAATCATCTCAAAGAATAAATCATTGAGCCTCAATACCTTCCCTTCCTTAGTTCAGCAACAAACATAAAAAAACTTGCTTCCCTGGAGAAAGTAACAAATATATTCCATGGTAATCAATCGAATAAATTATAAGCATAAATCTCATCAGGTTAACACAGTGAATAATTTACTTGCTTTTCTAGTCCTTCTATTTCAATAACAGGTAAGGAATGATCATATACAAGATTGCTGGTCACAATATTGATTGGAGATTGATGTCTGCCCTGCAGACATAAATTCGGTAGTCCATTTATTTCCTTTTCAGTAAGAAGTAATCGTTCATTCCACGCTCCGGTGCCTTTAAATAAAGCATAAAAAATATATTATAAAGATCTTAAAATGAGTAAAACAATCCTTTACACAAGCCAATCCATAAGGAGGTTTGGAAAGAATGATTAGGATGGAAAACCTGATAACAAGTAGTCGTATCTCTAAGCTTTATGTGTTATCATCGAAAATATGTCGTGAAATTATATGTTGTGGGGGATTTCAATTACCACTGATCTGATGAGCTCAGTTGAGATTACCTGTAAAGTGTATAGAATTCAGCTAGTTTGTACTTTATCTTCATATTATCAAATCAACTATTATAGTTTATAAGCTACGTTGATTCTTAAGAAGCGATGTATTCAGCTGAAATGTCATGTGTTCTCTTCATAGATTTCTTTAGGATAGACAAATTGGTAACGTTGAACAGAAGTTCTACGGAGCAACAACTTTGGTTTTTGGGGAAATTAAAGTCGATGGTGGTAAAAATTGCAAACTTCATAATAAACTCCACATTTGTAAACATTTTTCAGTTCGATATCCCAGTATACAATGTTCTCACTTTCGATACTTCTGCTCAGTATTTTGTCTCTTTCTCCTCTCGAGTCTACACCAGACTGTCGTTATCATTTCCTGCTCTCCTCGATGTTGTGCTGTATACTACTGATATACACTCCTTCAGTTGCATTCACTACGCTGCCATTGTTTTGCAAATGGTGTGAAAGGAAAGGCTTCTACTCCAACGGAAACATGGCGCGTAGTATCAGCCCAAACGATTGTGATAAGAGGAAGCTAGACTACATATTAAATGATGTTTGAATAATACTGCTTCTTGGACCTCTAAAGTAGTATGACTTACGATGAAGTGTACAAATACTGGTTTGCTCGTGAAGAAGATTCCTGAAAGCCTAAATTTGATCATTTTTATTTACGAGCTAGTTGGCAATCTTTATTTCTAAGTTATCGTAAGTTAACCTCCATGAAATGGCCGCACTTCTTTGTTTACCAAAGCGTTTTGCCATAAAAAAAATACATTTAAAGCTAGACGTCCGAAAGAGGAAGACATTTCGCGTGATAACATTTGAGTATCTTTAAAAGTTTTCCCAAGGACACAGAAACAGTGGTGTAGCATTGAGTTGTGGTCGCACAAGCCCGAGTTCAAATCCTGGCAGCCCGCCTCCGCCAGCAACAAGTGTGTGACAGACAATCGTATGCAGACAAACACCACCAGTCCGAAACCGTAACTGCAGGCCTTTTAAACACTAATCCTACACAGTCATACGCGTGCGACGCATCATCCTCTCAACGAGCACTCTGCAGGCTCAACTCGATATCTCGTCGTCTGCATGAAGCTGGAGCCATGCTTCAGGATCCGTTGTTGTTAAATTTATTATTCTAAGTAGATCATACTTGTTATTCGATACAGTGTTTTGCAATTTACCAAGTAATCATGTTCTTACCAAAGTGAAAACTTTCACAAATAAATTTACTAAACTTTGTTTTTCAAAAAACTTATCAAACGCTGAAATGTATACATCACATTATCATCTTGAATTGCTTGCTGTTTGTAGGAGACCAAGATTCAAGTGAGTTGTTTTCACAAACAGCCTACTAGATAATTTTTACCACACTCTGTGTATGAACTGTGATGACTGAAGTGCGTAGAAAACATGAGACACCAGGAACTGCCTTTGCGTTCACCTAACGTTTGTTTTATTGGACCTATAGCAAGTCTTTATGTCAGTAAAAGCTAAAATGAGGGCTTTTCATCGTGTCTGTTGACAAGAAGAAAAGATACTTGAGATTCTTGTTCATAACAAAACTGTTTGTTAAGATTTTAAGAAGAAAACAGTTTTTCAAAATAAGGTTATGTATACAGCTGTGAATAAAGTGATTTGACTGCTGAATTCAGTTGGAGGTATAGTTTTTTTGAAGTGACCCACAAGCTATTCGCAATATGCATCCAGACATAAGCACATCCTTTAATGTTTACTTAAGCAGAGACTTCACGCTGCTGTCAGAAGGAATTACTAAGCAGCTAGGGTCTGACTAACAGAAACTACCACGTGAACAACAATGTCACATCCTACTGTATCTACCAATTCAAATGTGCGTGTTGTGACAGGTATGTAGGGAGGAATCATAGATCCACGCAGGTTGGAGCCTCGTGACATATTCCAAAGTGGCTTCAGAAGCAAACCGAATCACCTGAACCCATAAACGTTTTGCAGCAGGCATTCAAGTTCTTCAATCGTGAAATATATCGTTGAGGCAGACCACTGGATTGAAATGACTACTTCTTTTAGACCTATTTACAAAACGTGTATGGATGGATGCTTAAGTTTGTTAAGGCCTGAGGTATTAAGAGGTGCAAACCACCTTAGTGTGTTCAAAAACAATTTATTATCACATTAAATCTCTCTGGATGAATTCAACTGTGAAAACTAAGTTCGATGTACTATTAATTTCGCTCTATTGATTTTCATTGTTGTTTGGGATTTAATTCAGCATACTTACTTGGCCTCTTTTCACATTATCACCCTTTCTCTTTATGAATTTTCATATAAATACCTATGACAGTTATGTGTGACCAGATAGTTGGAGGTGTGTTACACATATACATTACACGGTTCAGACAATTTATGTCTTCTTACTGTTTTATCGAAGTTTATGAAGAGGACTGATTGTTTTAAATGTTTACTTAGTCAAATGGAGTACATTGTTTCTATATTTATCTCAACAATGTTTAGCATATTCGTTAAAAGTTTTACTTTTTGTCTGACCTTTAGATTTTTAACATTTTCGGATAGTTTCCCCACGGGCATACACTTATATGATTAGAGCATGCCAGGTAAGATTATCCTCAAAGTTATAAACACAAGCCAGAAAACAAAGGAATAACTACTGATGTTGCTGTTAAATACCCTCAGCAATCCTATGATGACAGGATTTTTAGCTTTATCAGTTTATTACAAAGGAGTTTACCCAAGCTAACAATCTTGAAGGAAAATTATAGAATTTCAAAGACAACAGATGGATATTTCTGTCTGGGCAAATGGGTAACCTTGAGGAAAACTTCAGACTGAATCTCCGTCCTTGACTAGTTCAGAACTTAACGGTTTGAGAGCAGTCGAAGAAAGAAAGTTGAACCAGCCACCTATCTCACATGATAAACAGCATCCATTTACAACAACTAATTTGAAGCTCACTGACAAATACAAAAATGTCTGGCTTTACGTCTCCTTGATTTGGTTGAAAAACTACTTTTCATTCCATTTTTTAAAATTATTAACTTTTCTTTTTGCATACAGTGGAGAGTAATTTTGTTTCATTTGGCTGTGACTAGTTTAGTTAAGTATTACTAAGTAAGTCTGCTTTTAATGTTTCCATATACCTGCCTACTTCACTTACATCAGAAACAACGTTAAACCCGTAGCCCACCCATATCAAAAGACTTTTCATTCAAGTATTAGTTAAAAATGTTGGTAAGTGTCATGAGATCTTGTTAGATGCCTATGCAACTAAAGTGAAAAGTTGACTCTGAGATAGACGAATGGGCGTATGGATGCGTTTTTCATGTTTCATTCTGTCTATTGACAGGTTTGTCCAAGAAACGACCATTATTTCACCAACCGTTCAACAAACAATGAAGATAGCACGTTGACTATTCTACTCGGCATCTGAAAACTGTCGAATTTTACTACTTGGTGTTATCTAAAGTCTATTGATCCTCCTATGTAGTACAGGCCTATATGTAATGGAATTAATACTTCGGAGAGTAATGCTACGTCATGAGTAGCTCATTCGGAGGACTTGACATTTCTAGGATCAAGGTGTTCAAACTAAGAGTGGTGAAATACCATTTACTTCGCGGTATTTTGAGATGAATTTTGCAGAAGACTATAAAAAAGCATAAGACCTACTTCTTCATCTTCTTAGCTAAGTTTCTCTTCAGGGGAGAAAAATGTTTAATGGTTATGATATCTCCATTATTGCTCTATGAGAAAACTATAACCAACAAGAGAGAAGAAAAGAACCAAAGATTAGAATTTCGACGTAATACATATCAAGTCTTTTTCGCTATTTAAGCTATTCACTTTAAAATAGCCATGAGTAAGTTGTATTCCTTGCTGGAGTTCCTACAGTTATGAGGTTGAAGATATGTCTCGCTCATGACTGCTGTCATGTAGGATACAAAAGTCACATTCTCTATCCCAATCATCCACAAACGTTTTATATTCTCTTGCATCGCAGCTTAAAATTAGAAGGTGGAGCGTTAAGTCAACCACTACTCTGTATAATACTCGAGGATGATCATGTGTAGCCAACAACTCCAAATGCTAGGTTTCTTTCTGATCAGTTTTTAATTAGTTCTCCACTTATAAAGGCTTTCATTCTATTGCATTACTTCCCATCTTGAAAAAACAAAAATAAAAGTTTATAGTAAAACATGTTCCTATATCCTATTCAAAGATACCTTCGCATGTTTGTATTTTTGATAATTTTATCCGCACTGAAAAATTTCATGATCTACAAATTGAAGTAGGCAAAAAGTTTGTCTATTTATTTGTCTCTCTTACCACTTATATTCTTGTTATTAATATTGACTAGTTCACTTCTTGAGGAGGCGTGTGCATGCACACACACACAAACAGAGATGGCAGGCACTAAGATTCAGTGGATATTGTTCCCATGAGAATGACAGGAAGAAACAAAAAAATCAACAGGAAAATAGAATAAAGAGGACTATGAAGTCATTGAACACAAGACAGATAAGATTCTTTCTCCGATATGCAAAGTATTGTTCAACAGATTCCGCCTTTTATTTTCTAAGTCAGTAATCCTACATTCACTGGGAATAATAGCTGAATTTTACAGGAAAGCATTAAAACAAAAGATTTTTTTAAAGAAACCTCTAGAAATCAATAGTTTTAAATTAACTGTAATCATTTTCAGTTACACTCATCATAAGTTTGTAACCGCAGCATCTCAAAGAAACTTTGACATAACATTTCATCACACTAGACGTCA